GTTCCGCGATCCACCGATACCGTAGGAATTATATTTTACAAAGTTTGCATATTAAACCTTGGACGTTAGACCATATTTCCCCCATAAGGCGAATTTTACTTAATTTCAGTGATACTTTTTCTCGCAAACTTAGTCCGGACAATTCCTTCTTTAATGTACGACGATTATTACTCCGTCATTAGGTGCGCCATCAATTTTCGCTAATGAGAAAATCCTCTCAACTCTAAGAGCTCTGTAAAAGCTGTTTTTCGAAGAGGGAGAACGGTAAATCCGGGACGCTCTTGAGATCATACATCTCAATTCTGCGCATAATGGTGCATTATATTTGGCATTGAGAAACGCAAGTGCGACGTTACTGGTCGTCGATCCAGAACTGGCACGACACTCCCGCCCGAGGGCACGCCTCGGTTTTTCCGGCGAGAAAATCTCGCGGTCTCAGGCGTCGACCGGTTTTCACCTCCTGACCGTGAGGCACGTAATATTACGTCACGTACTTGTGGCATCCCGCGACTCGGCAGAGAGAGAGAGAGAGAGAGAGAGAGAGAGAAAGAGAGAGAGATTCCATCGCCCTTTCTCGATGTCGACGATGCACGCGCATTTTGCAACTCACCTCGAACGTACACAACTCCCTCGATCAATAATGTTCGCCATTTATTTCTTGCTCACGTACATGAGGGAAAACCCGGTTAGGAGCGAGGAAAATCAAGCTCGAGATATGCGCCTCTCTTATATATAGACTCGATTTATCTAATTATCATTATGTGGCACCGCGGGACAAAACGTTGCCCTAAGGCGACGCGATGGCGTCTGTGGACGTATCAGTCCTTGCGCTGATGAGCAAGATGAATTCTTGGGGATTTTGCAAACCGAGCGCTTGACCTCGATGTCGCGCTCGCGCCCCAAAAATAAATAGAGCCTCCGACAGGCGTAAAAGTAACGCCGGTACTATTGATTGATGACTCTTGATATAGAAAAGGCTATAAGTACGTCTTACAATCTCCTCTACATCGAGACTCCTCTGACTTTACGTTCCAGGCTAAATGCGCTGCGTAATATTGGGTAATAACGTTCGCCGTAATCTACAGGAATTTAGCGTTTATCCGTATTTATATGTACAAGAAGGTACCTTAACCATCCCGTCCGTAACTCATGCTAAAACTGCCCAGGGATTATAATACGGTCTAACTTTCACTAGAGCGGAGATCAAGTCCGATAGGTCGGTCGGCGATTCCGCATTTCTGGAGGTTAGCAGCCCGCTCTTACGATTACCGCGCACGTGATAGTCGCGAACTTTGGATATCGGGCAGTCGTCTACGTCCAGGATGCCGATCGAAATCACTCCGTTAGGTTTGCAAACCGCGCGTTCCAAGGAGGGAACGCACCGATTATCTCAAAGGTAGCGCGCGCGCACTTTGCGTCCCGCGAACTTCTAAACGCGATTACACAAATGCCGCGTACTCCTAATGTCGCGCCGGCGAAATAACAAAGAGATCACGTGTGTGCACGTCAATTCAAGGGGATCCTAAAGCCGTCTGTTTTATCGACATTATAGTCGCTACTGTACACAAAAGCCGCATAATTTGTATATTACACAAATGTTTTCATGAATTGACAGCTCGAGGAGCAAAAGGTGCGAAAAGTGTGGGATCGCTCCAGCATCCCCTTATCCGTTGATGCGAAGTCTTCCAGTAATAACGGGAATAAAACTAAATGCACAGGAAGATAAAAAGATATGTGGCAACCAAAATTATATTCGAGGGGGATCGCAAACTATAAACTATGTGTGCAAAGCAGTCGCTTGTTCGTACTCCTCCTCGTGACAGGATGACAGCTCGCGTTAGTCGCTCTCCGTCTCGTATACGCTCGACCTTGATTCCCGATACCATCAATGACCGACAGCGGCGTCGTCCGTCCAAATTACTCATATCGATCATCGCGCGCAGTTCGACGAGCTAGCCGAGCGCGAAGAGGTCAGGCACGTCCGCGCTCGGACATCGGCACGGTGAAAGGCCAGGTAGGCCTTCGCCTTCCACGGAGTATCCCGGTTGCTTTTTGCGCGGTGATCGAGAGTAAAGCGCGAACGATAGTCACGCACGCGAGACGTTACCTCGCCGGCGCGAGAAGAACGATCGCCACCGAGCGACGATCCATTATTGCCCTGTGCATTGTTTCCCCGAGGCGCGATTAAGCGGATGCGTTCCTAAACGAAGCGCCGCTAAAATGTAGAGGGAGAGATTTTCCATTTTGCGAATATTTTCTCGATGCTGAATTAATATTGATGTTGAATTAATATTGATGCTGAATTTATCAGGGTATTAATCTGCTGTTCATCTGTGCAACTTGATTTATTGGCAAATCAGCAATGACCATCTCAGTAGGATTGCAGTCATTATCATTGTATGAATAATCTTAGGTGGCGATTATAAGTGCTATCTTCTCATCTACGCGCGTGTATTGTCTTCATCACTATTTTGATTTTAACTTAGTAAACGGCGTTATTAATTCTCCGTCACGCATAGTGTTATTGTCTATTAATCTTGCTCCTCGACCATGACTCCTATCTGATTGCTTTGCGATTTGACATACGACGTCATCGAGAACGCGTTTTCCCGACGAGACCGCGGCGACCGGCGGGCGATCGGTTGTTGCGCCAACAAGGATTATCGGGAATAGCAATTTATTTACGTGGCCTCTAATAATAATAGAGCGGTGTCCTGGCGAGCGCACGTTGCCAGGAGATCGACCGGAGATAAAAGTGGCTCGGAGATGTTTATCTCCTCGCATGGGACTTGCACAATTTCGCGCACCGCGGTTACCGCGGCGCGTCTGCGTATGCGTTGCATTGGCCAACTCCCTCGAGCGAGGCTTTCCTTTCCTATACAACCAATTTTCACTTTTACGGCTGACGCCTAAAACTGGAATCAATGAGCAAACGGTCTAATCTTTTAGGCAAATTCTGATTTGCATGACGAGGAGAAACGTGATTTTCGCCTGAAAATGACGTTTCTCCTCCTCATGGCATGTACCGGTGTTGCGATAAATGTTGCCACATACTTCGGTGGTCGAATTGGCCAAGACACCCATAGTAGCGAGGTCCAAGTCCGAATCCTGACTAAGGTGCAAGATTTTTCGCAATAAATTCTTTACGGTTGATTTCTTAAGGATGCTTAAGTACGCGGAGAAAATTTCCTCTTATCCTGAAAATCATGTGATCGTGGGACAGCACGGCACAACTTTATGTGAGTTTTTAAAAGTTTATTAGATTACCAGTAAAATGTATATTAACAATGCCGTGTTGTCCCACGATTATCATATTTTCAGGACAAATTTTGAAAGAAAATTCTCCCCGTGTAACCCAGAAAAAAATTTTGTTTGAATTTTGACTTTACTAGACTTTTATTTAACTTGAAAGAAATGATTTCTTGCCTCAGCCAAAATTGATTCAGACTGGAATTTCTAAAAGAATTCATATATTTTTCTTCAAATCTGGCAAATGTTTCAGTAGAAGTAAATAAAAATTTAGTAGATTCAAAGAAATATGATTTCAACGTATCTCATTTGTTTGACCTAACTAAGTTTGACCTAACTCTTTTTCTGGGTGTAGGAATATTAACAAATTGATTAGTAATTTAATTAGATACACAATTTCAACTTCAGCTTAAGACGGTGTTTCGAGACCGAAAGTCATCGGCGCGCAACTTACTGTTGAAAATAGATGTGTAGAGGAAAGTCCCCTATTATGAGATAGAATCCTAATATGAGATAGCGGGATCTCTATTAAATTAAGAGGCATCGTCAGTTGATTCCACTATAAATTTATTGCCCTCGGAGCGAAATCTGTTTAGTGGAAAATTCATTGTTAGATTGTGTAATTGTTGCGAAAAACGATTTGTGATTGAATTAGGGCGTTGAAAACTGCTCTAAGCAAAAATACTATTAGCCATTAAAATCGAGTCCGACCATATTAGACGTCGCTGTCATTTGCGTTATATAAAACGGTCAAGTTTACTCACGTTATTCCTATCCGCATCTGTTTTGAGGCAACGGCTTAGATAAAAAATAAAAAGTAGTATTGTACATAATTAATATTCCTTTCGTGCTTCATATAGGTATATTCTACTTTGAATAGATTGCGCAACAGTTCCGTGTACGTGGAAAAATGAAAGAACCGCGGAATATAAATGGGTTAAACATCTAATACCGTGGCAAACGGAGACTTGGAAGCGCGCGCGAGCATAGAGCGATATCAAAATTCGGTTCACACAAGAGGAAAGTCTTTGACTCCAAGATTACGACGATCCGGCCCGACAGCTCCATTTTCGAAACACCTTGTATAAGTGTGATTTGCTCACTTGGCGAGAGCAGGGAACGAGGCCGGGTGGGTTGATATCAAGAAAGAGTCGCCGCGGCACGCGTGTCCGGACTGAAGAGCGTCTTCGGGCCGGAGAACGGTCTGGTCCCGGGGTTTCCGGTCCAGCGAGCACGATTCGCCGCGCGATAATTACCGCCGCGCCGAGCATACGAACGGAGATCTCGCAATCAGCGCCGCTGTTGCACCCGCCCGGGGGCTACGTTCTCCTTCAAAAAGACGAATATTCCGCGAGCGTCACGCGATTATCTTGGCCGATGAATCACCGCCGCGCTTCCCAACGAGGTCGTCTGCGTTTCCACACGCCACCCCTCTTCATCCGAACGCGGAGCGGGTGCCGTGCGAATGTCGCGGGGACGCGAGACCTCCTCTCGATCTCCGGGGACGGGCCTTCGCGTCGGGTGTCAAGATTAGCGTCTGGCGTCTTGTTATCGCAAGAGAGGGTGGGGAGGCAGTCGTCTGGAACGGCGACGGGGATTTTCGTAGCCGACGGTGACGGCGAGGTGGTGGGCACGAAAGTCGGGTTTCGTGATCCAGAAGAAGAACACGCCGAGGGGAAGGGAAAACGGAAGGGCGGGGGCCCCGACCGCGAAGAAAGGCGGGAGCTATAAAAGAGCCGGCGGGCCCGACGATGGGCATCAAACACCTCCGACATGAAGGTACGTAGAAGTGGATCCAATCGCGAATACGCACATACGCACGCGTCTCTAACGTTAACAGAGGAGAGTCCCGTGTTACGGCAAGGGCTTCTAACATGCGACAGCGGGATTTCTGCTAAATAGCTAAACTAGTAGGCATCATCTTGTTGGCTCCACCATGAATTTATTGTCCTTGGAGTGAAATCTGTTTAGCGAAAAATACATTGTAATCGTGTAATCGTCGCGACTTGTGATGGGATTTAGGTCTCGTACTAGAAGCTCGTCTCATAATAGGGGACTTTCCTCTGCATATACGCATATCGAACGATCGTGGGCACCGCCCTCTCGCACAGATCAATTTCTCGCGATTGTTAAAGCTCTCTTCAGCCTGACCGGTTCTCTCGTTACAGGTGTTCGTAGTCACGCTCGTGCTGGCGCTCATCGCCACCGCATACGGTGAGTACAATGGGAGCTTATGGAAACGGGGAGGATTAACGCCGGGGTGTCCCGCGTGTGAAGTGTTCGCGGCGTTTTTATAATGTTTAACCCTCTCGGTACGCCAGAATCCGAAAAGTGCTCGCGACTGACTGCAAACGTGCCAATTCGCGCTGCTGCCGCACACGTAAACGCGAAAACCCATTTTATTACACGTTCCATTGCTAAAATAGACTTACAATAATTACGGATTTATTCTACGTCGCATGAGGTATCGATTAAACTTAATACTACAAACGTGAGACGACTTAGGGCCGGTTGTTCCAACTTCTTGGTAAGTTACCTAACAGTTGAGTCATATGCATGTCTTTGTTTTCCCTTCAAATTAGACAAAGACAGGCATATAATTTAAATATTGGTTAGCTTACCAAGAGGTTGGAAAAACCGGCCCTTAGAAAAGTTTGCGGATGCAAAAACTTTTAGATGTGTCTGACATAATCTTTTTTTCTGTAAAATAACGTCCATAATAACAAGAGAATTAATTATTCTTTTAATCTGTATCGTGGAAAATCTTAATAATGACAATTATTTTTCTTGAACATCAATTAATGTGTCGTTACTACCGCAGCAGGAATTATCATTTGAAAGAACAAGCTGCATCGCTGTTATTAGCATTAACAAGCGAGACGAACGGACACACGCGCGCACACACGAACATTTCATAAATTATATTCCCCCTTTGATTCTTTATACGCTTCCTAACTGGTTGGTTTAGCGATATTAAACGAGCTCATATAAGATTTAATCCAAGAGCAATTTGTACTTGCCTCCTGCCCTTTGAGACGGCTTACACAATCGGCAAAACGCAACCAGTCTCCCTGTTGTAGCAATCACAAAATACCTCGTGGCAATTTGCGGGCCGACATGATCGCGCGCAACCACCTGGCACCAAGCTCGCATTCGCGCAAAGAAAGTCGATAAATCGCGCATCGCGCGAACAGGCGCGTCCCAGCTCTCTATAAGTCGCAAGGTGGTTACCTAACTGGGAACCGGAATTTTCGAATGCGGTGAAAAATAATCGATTATGATCTCGAATCTACAGGCGGTTACATAAGCAGCGGCGGTGGATACGGCGGCGGTGGATATGGCGGCGGTGGATATAGCGGTGGATACAGCGGTGGATTCGGCGGCGGCAGCAGTGGATGGAAGCTCGGTGGCGGAGGTGGATATGGCGGCGGTGGTTACAGCGGCGGGGGCGGCGGATGGAAGTCCGGCGGCGGTGGATTCGGCGGCGGCGGCGGCGGTTACGGCGGCGGCGGAAAGATCATCAAGGTGATCACGCTCAGCAGCGGCGGCGGTGGATACGGAGG